GGGGGGGGGGCATTCACCTCCCATGACTCGTATTTTTTTTTAATATAATACATTGATTTATTTAAAAAATGTAATGTATAAATAATTAAGAATTAAAATTACTAGTCTATCATTATAATATGGTAATAAATTCAATAATATGTCAATCTGATCAGGGGTATCAATTTTTGTTTATCTTCTTATATCATAACATTTGTGGGGACTCGATCCTACTTATCACAACTCGCTGTTTTTTTTTCATGCTTATCATCAACCTCCATAAAAATTCCACCACTCTGATTCTCAATGAATGTCGGACATTACGCTCACGGCTGCGAACGGTGCGAAAATCCGCACTTACGGGTCTAAACATCTGCTATATACAAAACATTTATATGATATTCAAGGACATTTACTATTTTTGAAATTTACTGCGGGCCGTATGAAAGAGACGTTAGTTAACGATAACTGTTCTAAATCAATTAAAATTAAATTTATAAACATATTTCAATCAAATAATTTTTTATGCTGTAAAATTCATCTTAGTCATTATATCAACATTATAGATAAGATATATTATGCGTAACTAGATTTATTTAAGGTATTACATTAAATCTGAAAATATACAAATGTACTTGTGTAGATATTGTTTTTTGAGTTACGAAGATACATTTTCAGTTAAACAATAATTTGATCAGGTACCTACCTACTTATAAAGTTCCATTGAGGCCGTTCGAAATTATTTTGCCCGGGCCGAGCTATAAAGCTAGTTCAACCCTGGCCCCACGTAACTCAATGTTTCCGACACCAAAAACATGTATGTACTCCCACCCATGACATGACGACAATAAAACCGCGTCAGTCACTGCGCATCCGTCACCCCTCAATATACCAAGTCATATTGGTCATTCATATAGGTATAAGTGTAGTAGAAGTTACAACAACTTCACTATTTGTTTTGAAATATTTTCTACGTTATAACGTATTTTTTACGAATATTTTTGCACATCTATTATGTTCATAACAAAAAATACCGTATATCATATTATAATTATAATATTAGGTACACAATATAACCAACGCGATGACGCAATGTATTTTATATGTGTTTCTTTACCCTGTATACCTACACGCCAATCAGTGGTAGGGATGAAACTATGCTGGGAGAAAATAAGGCAAGCGGCACTCGTGACAATAGATATATTAACTATTTCGAGGTATGCGATTCTCTCGTGGGCGGAAGTATATTTCATAGACAAGTACAATGGCGTAATTATGGGGGGGGGGATATGGGGATATATCCCCTCCAGACGCTTTTTTTTTTAGAATAACTATAATTAAATTCCCGTAAGCACTAAGCTCTAAAAGATTTTAAGATAAGAAATAAGAATTCATAGATATTATCGTAATTGAGATTTTTTTTTTTATTTTACTAATACAGTAAGTTCCCGTTACAGCGAACTCCAAGGGACCTTATTTTTTTTTCGTTATAACGGAAATTTCGTTGTAACGAAATTTTGAAAATTTGAAATAAAAACAAATTTAAAAAACATTATGTGATTCAAATACAAATTGTATGTAAATATGTAATAAATAAATAATTCAAATGTAAATAATTTGCGGAAAAAATAAATAACTTTATTGTACATAAATAATTGACAGTTTTAACAAAAATGAATAATTTGCGAAAAAATAAATAACTTTATTATACATAAATAATTGACAGTTTTAACAAAAGTAAATAATTTGCGAAAAAATAAATAACTTTATTATAGATAATCATCAATTTTCTTTTGAACAAGGTTTGCTGTTTTAATAGAAAGTAAATAATTTTGTATTTGGTGAATGTTTGTAAATATGAAGTCCGGTACATCACTCTGTGATGTAATGAATGTTCGCATTACTTCCAAACATGATAAGGCTTCTGATGAAGTGACATTGCGCACATCATTTCCCAACACAGCTTCTTCGTCTTCGTCTCCACTACTTTCATCGGTGACCTCATCTTTGCTGTCTTTAATGGATTGAATGATGTCTACTTCGGTTAGTTCATAACATGTTGAAACGTTGTCATCTGCACCGAGATAATCTTCTAAATTCACGTCGTCAGGAAGCGACGTTTTCTTTTTCGCAGTGATCCAAATTTGCTCTAACTCAGATTGTTGGATATCGTGCGTATTTGATTCATCATATTTGGCCACTTCTGAAACAGAATTGGTGTCTTTGGTTGTGGTTGTATGTTTCCAACAGTTAGTTATTGTTGATTGACTGATATCATCCCAAGCTCCGCATATCCATTCGATAGCTTCCTTCACATTGCATTTTCTTTGGATATTTTTTCTCCAAATCGCATAAGATTTGACGTAACAAAAAAGTTCTGTAGCGTGATTTTACAGCTCTGATGATACCTTGGTCAAGAGGTTGAAGTACAGCTGTGCAGTTAGGTGGGAAATATTCCACACGAATATTATCCAATTTTGGTGGTTCATTATGTGGAGTACAGTTGTCGATAAGAAGAAGAATTTTCCTCTTCTTCTTTTTCATTTCTGTATTAAAATCTATCAACCAATCATTAAAAATTATTTGAGTCATCCATGCTTTCTTATTAAATTTATAGATGCATGACAATGATTTACAGTTTTTAAAACAACGAGGTTTTGCGGATTTGCCAATGATGAGGATTTTTCGTTTCTCCGTTCCCGATTTGTTACAACAGAAAAGAGCGGTGATGCGTTGTTTGGAAGCTTTACCCCCTACACACTTGTCTCCTTTCTGGGCTAATGTCCTTTTTGGTTCAAGCTGAAAAAACACTCCAGCTTCATCTGCATTAAAGACATCGTTGGGGCTGTATTCCTTGATGAGTGCAGCAACTTCTCCGTTTCGCCATTCGTTAACAGAATTCATTGGTACGTCACTCGCCTCTCCAGAAATGCATTTAGACAACACACCATAACGCTCACGGAAACGATTTAACCATCCGACACTTGCTTGGAAATTCTCAATTTCGAGCATTTTAGCAAATTCTAATGCTTTTTCTCGAATTAAAGGACCGGTCAGAGGAACATTTCTGGAACGAACATCTTGAAACCATTTGTAAACCGCCGTATCAACGTCTTCAAATTGTGCCTTACGCATCCTTTTCCTGCTCGGGACAAAAACAGAAGTCTGAAATTGTTTCAAGATGCTTTCTCGGTCTTTCAAAATAGTTGACAATGTTGATGGGGATATGCCATATTTTTTTGCCACCTCGCCTTTCTTCAATCCTTTGTCTACTTCAGAAATTATGTTTTTCTTTTCTTCCAACGAAAATTGCTTTATTTTTACTGTAGAACTCATCACGTACGTACGTAAAGAAGAAGCATAAAATACGAAAAAATAAAAATTACCAACGTAAGAGGTCTATGACCCGACTGATTGTTTAGCGTTATCGATTGACGTGGAATAACACGGTCACACGTTATAATGACAATTTAATGGCTTGATAATTTCGTAAAACCGTATGCTTCTTATCTTTAGATTAAATTAAGTAGGGAAATACATACATTATAACCAGTACAAATAGTTCGTTGTATCGGGATTATTAAAAAACTATCATTTCGTTGTATTGAGATTAGTTTAACATTGTTTTAATAGCTTTTCGGTAAGGGATTTCTATGACTTTCGTTATAACGGGATTTTTTCGTTGTATCGGTATTCGTTGTAACGGGAACTTACTGTATTTATTTAGGTTCGTAAATAAATCTCTTCATTGAATTTTATACAAAAACAAGATTTAATTATAGTTGATATTTGGGGTATTATTTTACAAGTATTGGGTGTTTTTATTTCGTGTACTATTCGTGAAATATTGTAAATATTTTTATTGTGTTGATTATCGTAGTATTAGTGAATCTTACACTTACTTATTGTCTGCGTCGGAAACAATTAAACAATTATGTTGTACTAGTTTAATTATATCTTGGAAATAATAAACAATTATCAAATTCTATAAACTCCTAGCTTAGATGGAGATATAATTTTTTCTTTAAATTTTAAGTAATGCAAGACTCTTGCAGTAAGACCAAGACCATGGCCAAAACCAAGACTATGGTTTTGTTCTTGGTTTGCTCATCACTTTGTATGATAGATCCGTATAATCTGGACATCGATCGGTCCACCCATAATATATATATATATGTCGTAAATATAGTTAATGATGATATTGACTAGTCAATCCATATAATGGCTGGGTAATGTAGTCATTATCTATAATGGATATATATTTATGAAACTGACTTGATAAATCAGACGAAGTTAAAATCTGATAGAATGGCTAGTCATTATGACATTTCCGATCGTCTTTAAGTTAATGTTATCTTTAATGGTTTTAACTTTTAACACAGAGTAAAGCAGAATGGACACTGGTAACAAATTACATGGGCAGCATAGGGCAATAATGAAATCAGTCAGCCATTTTATTTGAGGTACAGTGGGAAGTTAGTAACATTTTATTCCATCATGAAACGGTAGTAATATTCTTTATAAGCTACTGCGCATTTTCAAATGTTACTAATAGTAGTATTATTTTTCAAGGTATTAGGTGCAATAAGAGTTTGAAATTTGGGGGCTTATAAGTCTTATACTATGGTATGACCATGGGTCAACCCCCAACCTCCCATCATTATCAAAAAAATATAAAATGTGTTTTTGTAAATGTATTACATTTGTATTTGTAAATTTACTACTACAATGATTTGCATTTTATAGTATTATATCGATTTAAACGTTTTTAATATACTTAAAAAATGTATATAAATACCTGTATAATACTATTTAATCATCGATGAATATATTTTATACATTTTTTTTTTAAACATTTCCCATTCTGAAATCCTGCACATGGGCCTGTATTATGGTAGATATACTATCTAAAAAATGATCCACAAGTAAAAACTTCTTGGTACCCAATAGGTCACCATGTTTCACACTGTTTGGTAGATCACATATTGAAAAATTACCATAATTGAAATTACAATTAATAACGAATATCAGTTATCACTGATTATCATTTGATAACAAAAGTACCTAAATTAAAATGGCCGCTGATTTTCTTGCCGCCGTGTTGTGTCCACCCCTGCTTTTAATATCCACATTCCACATTCCACATTAGGTACCTGATTTTTAATGAATATTATCTTTTACGGTTTTAGTACTCACAGGAACTAATAACATAACAAGTATTGTTACAGTCTTCGTTTTACTTACGTATAGTGCGAATACCTATAGTTCAAGTATTTTTTTCGTTTTATACCAACGTTTACTTGCATCATTGTAATTCATTTGTAAGTGTTAAATTATTTTTTTAAAAACATGACTTCAAATGAAATGCATCAAAAGTTTTACGACGCATTATTTAATTTATTGAAAAATAAACGTGAGGATAATAAATAATTTTTAACAAAAGCAATATATGTTAAGATTAAAAGAAGTGAAATTAGCCAAGGAAAAAATTGGGAAGAAAACTGAGAAGAAAATTGCAAAAGAATATAAATAGATACATTTGTATGTATGATGTACTAATACTAAATGGAAAAGAATGACTTATTAAATTTATAAGCAGTGATTCAGAAAGTGTACTTTATTATTATCAAACGACGCATTATTTGATATTTTACACGATAGTCACATAGATCATAGTCAATAGATCATGGCGGTCGGGGCCGAATGATTTATGAATTAAAGATCTAATACTTGATATTACTAAGAAAACTATTATGATCTATTTAAGTCTAAAAAATAAATCATCGAATCCGAAATGAGGCCTAGTTTTTAAAACAATATACTTTAAACCAATACTTCATAATGCATTCAATTCACGATCTCAAATGGATCTAATTGTTATACAAAGTCAAAGTTTTAATGAATTTAAATTAATTATGAATAATCAGGACCATCTAACAAAACTTATACTACTAAGACCTTTAAAATCAAAACGAATTGAGGAAATAGAATTTAATTTGATTGATATTTATACCACTTTTGGTACACCTGCAATACTCCAACCTGATAACGGAAGATAATTTGTAAATACTGTTATAACTAAGTTTAATGTGGTGTGGGGTGATGTCAAAATAATTCATGGTAAACCAAGACATAGCCAAAGCCAAGGGTCGATAGAACGAGCGAATCATGATGTAGAAGATATTTTGGCGACATGGATAGCTGAAAATAATTCTAAAGACTAGCTATCGGGAATAATTTTATTAAATTTAGAAAAAATCTGGCTTTTCATTCATTTTTTGAAATTAATTATTAAAAAATGTAAATATAATGTAAAAATATAATTGATAATTACAAATGTTGGGCATTAATTAGATTGATAATGAACATTTTTTATTGTTATTTATTAAGAATTGGCAGATCACCATACGAGGCGATGTTTTGATGTCCTTTAAGACTTGGTGCAGTTGGAACATCCAATTTAAACCAAGAAGAAGATATTGACGATATTGATTAAATTATTAATATTAGACAAGAACACAAAATTGAATATATTCTAAAGAGGACGCTACACACGTAAATATTGAGACCAAAAAACAAGGTTCACGCGAACACGTTTTATCAGAGCTATAATCACACTAGGGATTCAAAATGCTTACACAATATGGAAGACAACTATTTCTGTGACGTAGTGTCTTTATTTTTTTATTAAAATAATTAGGAAAGGAGTTATTAAAGCTCAAATATGCATGATATTATATGTTTTTAAAAAGCTTATAAAACTACAATGAGTCAAAATATGAAAAAAATAAAAACACTATATCACAGATAAAATTCTCCCCAATACATGGTGAAAATTTCATGAATTTATTATAAATGTAGCCTGTGTATTTTATGTTCCCGTAAAACAGTTTTTAACAATGTTTTATGGTACATACAAAAATTTTTCATTGATTTGTGCGCTGTTCCCGTTGCTAGCGTTTGGTCGGTGAACTAAAACCCCCACTCCACTGCTGAAACAACTGTAACCGGTACAACGACGACGACGCGTCGTCGTTATCGGTAGACAGTGATATATAAATAATAACATTGATTATAAATACTATAGATTGCTCACTGACCGGTTTTTCGACGGCACGGTAATAATAATCGGGTGCCGCTTTAAAGCGCTGCGATCGCAAGGTTAGTAGGTACACATATGGTAACACCGTAATCGCTAGTAGTCATGTCTGGGGGCGGTGGAGAGATGTATTCAGAATGAGAATTGCGAGTACCTATTCGGCATCCACCGATCAGCCGTTTCATTCCTCTAGCTACCCGTTTTTAATTTATATTAATTTCGCATTGTTGCTATTATTACACGACAATGCCAATTCAGTACAGTCGTGCTATTGTACACCGTAAAATACGCAATACTAAAAATATTACGTTTTACGTGTACTGCAGTGGTCACTGGTGTACACAATGTACGTCTACCCGGTGTAAATATTCAATTACTATATTATTCAGATCGTTGTCAATTATATTTTTGTATTATAAATTAATAAAATACATATTCATTATACCATCAAACAACTCCCTCATATTAATATTGATAATTATTATAGTATAAAGTACTTATAGTAATTTTTCTAAGTCAATCGCTTGGATTTTAAATAATAGCAAAAAATGATAAAATAGAATAAAAGTGGCTTTTAAATCGACATGGTAGATGTAATAGTATTTACATTGATAAAACAGATTTTAAAACTAGATATAAATATGAAAAAATCAAAATCAATGATAAAACGTCGCACGACTGATGAACAAAATTCTAATTATAGTGTCTTGCTATTCAAATACTACTTAATTTCCTTCATTCCATGAAATATAAATAATATTTGATTATTGACTATTGTGTATCTACTTCAGTACTTAATATTTATACTTGTGTCATAGTGTTTCCAGTGGTCGATCGGACAACATCACAATATAAAATTAAGAATATTATAATATTATACTTTTACTAAATTCGAATTTTTTTTTTACACATTTATTTACATACGTTTTATACATTTTTATTTTATAAAATGTCAGGAGGTGATAAATGTATGTACTATAATTGTACGAAAAATCGAAAAACAAGTCGGAATGTATTTCACACATTTTCTTCTAATACAGATATTGAAAAAGAATGGATAGTAAATTCTGGTAAGTAATGTTTTCATGCTGGTGCTTAAATATTATTTTTTAGAATACCTATAATTTTTGAATATGGAACAGTTTATGGTAGAAATGTAAAATATAAATTAATTTTAGGTAACATTGTCTTAGAAGG